ATAGAAAATATCATTCGTTATGACGCTCCAGATAGAAACGTCCATAATTCTATAGCTCATAATCAACCTATGGATTACCAGTTATACCCGTTAATCCCGTTTTTGATGAGCTTTTATTTGGTATGTAATTCATTTTTATATCATTTGTCGTTGAAGCTGTACCCCCCTAGCAAAAGGTTATACATCACCCTGTATGCTAAATAAGTCATGCGCGTACATACATTCCTACCGATATCAAACCAAAATTTTTATATTGGTTATATTAGTTTATTGTAACTGAACGATTCGATTAAAACCTCAAATAACAATGATAAATCTGATAAATTTATCAGTTATCAGTATCACAGTTAGTTTAATAGAATTAAATCTAACATTAGTTCATCAGAAAATTGTCAATCGAGTAAAAATAAAACTGATTTCTATGTGAATGGTTTAAATTTAATTGAAAGAATGAAAAATTAAATAATCTTCACAATGGATTGAATTGGATGTCAAACTCGATGATACGCTTAACATTGTTACTAATACAGTCGTTACTATAACATGTACTCTTGTACCATTTCTATGTTCAACGAGGAGAAATATTATGTCATCTCTTCGAAGGTGTATGACTATTTGTATAGAAAAGAAACAAATTGTTCGAAAATGTAAAAAGTGTGCATATATTTCAATATAGTTCAAGATAAATTAAATATATGATACGTTCAAGAACTTCTCTAGGCTATATGTTATTGATACATCTAAGTTGAAAATTGAATTTTTGATTAAAATATTTATTTCTCATCTGAGACATAATCCATCAATTGTAGTTGTACTAACTGAGGTATAAGTCAAACGGTATGTATGTATTCTCAATATATAGTCTTACAAACTGGAGCAAAGTAAACGTTCATAAATAGTATTCATTTAAATTTTAAAATACAATTCAAACATTATGAAATATATCGTCATTCATATTTATAACAAATGATATCATTTACCGTTTTCTTTCAGACTATTTTTTGACAATATATGGTAAATAATGTGAAATTCAATTTCCTCAATTTGAAAATAATCAAAAGGCTTTGAAAAATATATATTGATTAGAACAAATTGACAAAGATATGCGAAAATTATACACAAATTGTCTTAAAACGTGGTAAATAAATAACATTTATCAAACTTTGCGTCATTTATTTTTGTAAAACAAAAAATATTAATAAATAGTAAAGCTTGTTTAATTAGTCAGGCAAAAAAAAACAGTGGCATTATTTTACAATGAAAAGAAAAACAAAACATGAAAATACTTTTTACTTTTAACCAATAAATCTATTAAATGGACATAACATTAAATGTAGCCAGTCACCGAAGGAATCACATTTTTATTGTCGTATTTAGACACTTCTATTTCAACGGTTGTTCAGCTTGCGACGTATAACTTTTCACTCTTGAAAATATTAATGGTGGAAATGAATGACGATCTAGTACTAAATCTGTTGCACGATCTTCGTTGAGACGTCTTTATTAGAATAAAGATAAACAGAAAGGAGAGCATAATAGATGTTTACTCAAAAATATAATTTTATATTGACATATTTTATTTTTTCTTACTTATTAGAAAATCGTAAATCATAGTGTGTCCATAGAAGTTGTTGATGTTTCTTCTTACCAGCATCGCACATTTCAAATTCCTAAAGAGTAGTAGAATGTGCATACATTGGCCTATGACAAAATTAGTTTAAAAAAACGTACCAGATGCAGAATTTGTTCAACATCTGATTGAACTTCTTTTTGGGGTTGTCGACGATTTCGTTGATCAATATATGTTGTACGTTGAGTGATACGTTTAGCGATTATAATCACCTAGAAGTAGATCGAATAATGAAAGATAAATATTAAAAAACAAAATTAAATTCCTTTTTTATTTTACTTTATTATTGTTTAAACGATAATTTCCATGTACTATTGTTGAATCACGACCGTAACGACTTTTTAATTTCCCCACAGTTATACGAGGTTCATCCGCTGAAGAGAAAAAAATCACCATTTAAACTGTGCTCAAAGTAAAAAATTCATTCAAATTTTTTTCATGAAACCTACTAGCCTTCATATTACTTACCAGTAGTACACATAATAACGATTCCTAAACAAAAAAAACGTCTGTTATATTAGTGTAGAAAATGATGTATGAGTTATATTGACTAAATACCGTCAGGAAAAAATCGAATGTATCTATAATATTCAACTAAATGCCATGGACTATAAAATGTATCTAACGATTGTTCTCCTTGACGAATATATGTGGCACGACTAATATAAACACCTGAAACATTGTTTTATAGAGAACATAATTCTAAATAAATTTTCACAAAATTTCCATACCGTTGAAACATACTCTAGCTCTATTGATAAACATATTTCTCCAATTATTTCCATATGATATTGGATTTCCAGTATGTAAACCCCATGTACTAATAAAACAAAAAGTTAAAAAAAATGAGTAAATGATAAAAATTTTAGAGAGAATTTCATACTTCAAACAAATTAATTTCCATAATTCTTGATCTCTTGAACATACATAGAATCCTTTACAAACTTTTGAACATTGTTCTAACGATCGAACATCTAATTCATTTGAAATTACCCATCTCATAATGTAAATAACGACTTCAGATGGTAACGATGATATATGAGTACCCTAAAACAAAGAAAATATATATTTCCTTTACAAAGCAAAGCTCCTTTTTTAATCTTATAGAACAATGTGAATACCGTCGAGGTTTACGTAGTTACATTATTAACGGAGTCGGTAAACCTTGTCAAGACCGGTTGGAGAAAAAAAACTTGAAAGGATATAGAACCCAAACTTAACTGTTTTTGTTTGTAAACTTGGCGAGTAAACGTTTTATTTTTAACATATCAAATAGTAGAGATAGAAGAATAACTCGCTTCAATTCACATAGTGTGATTCGATAGACGTATGTTACACGTCTCTAGATTTATAGTACCTTTTGTGGTAAATTTTTCGAACATATGGTTGCATCGTCTGTAAAATTTAAACGTTGTAATGATTCTAATACATCGGATTCCTCACTTTTCTCACGAATAGCCAAATCATGAGCACTGAAAATAAAATCTAACAAACATAAAAATTCTTTTCATTGTACTGCTATACCATAAATTTTCTTCATAATTCGGATCTGTCGTTGTTATTTGTTGACTTCCAAGTCCACTAGCACCAGTATGTTTTCTAGCCATACGAAATTCAATATCAGGCACTAATTGCATAGCAGCACGATAATATTTAATAGCTAAAGAAATGCAAAATCATTAAAGAGTGGCAACGGTTATTCACAGTATATAATTACCATCGTAAAGTTTTCCTTCACGTTCTAAGACAACGGCGCGTTCAAAAAAATGCCTTGCCTAAAAGAAAAAGAAAAAAGAAATTTGATATAAGAGAATAGAACACAAATGATATGATAGGAATTGGCTGTACAACTGGCTGTTCATTTGAAATCAGTACTGGTTTTAAGGAGAAAAAGTTTTTACTTAATGTAGATTATTTTTTCTTATTACCTGTTCTTCTTTTTGTTTCTCTTTTGGTTCGTGTTGGAGGACATCATTTTCCTTATCTTCTTGCACATAACCATAGACTGTTCGTTGTTGTATCTCTTTTTTCCATTTTAAACGAAATTCTTCTAATTGATTTTCAATGGTTCGATTTGCCAAATTTCCCGACTGAGCATCATAATCACAATCACTGTCATTATTTTCAGAGTCGGATATAGCCATTTCGGTATCCTGAAAGGCAAAGATGAATAACTTGTTTTCTCTCAAAGATGAACAATCTTGATAAGAAAGTGTAAAGCGTTTTGGGCACAGTGCTTAGTAAAATCGACTTTTCTCGTCCAAGACAAAAAATTTCAAAAAACTGCACATATACTTTTGAAGAGGAGCATCTAACACGTCGACCCATGTGAAAATATTGGCTCTAACATCTCAAGAAAAACTTGTGAAAAGTTTGCAAGAATAGGTAGAGGGGTTTTGGTCGCTTTGCTTTCGACGATCTTGGCCTACAGACGTTTAGGTCTGAAACAGGTTTCAGGCCATTTTCTGATTCAGTTTTCAAAGCTGAACAAGAATATAGCAGTTTGAACAGTCCAAGTTGGGACGAAACTTGGGCAACTCAAATTTATAAAAAAATGGCGAAAAATCGGGTTTTTCACACCCATCGAGTTTTTTCGATTTTTCAAACGGAAGGAAGCCTTTAAAAAAATCAAGGAGCCCATATTCTTGCTCGCTGTGAAATTCTCTATCGAATGATATATAAGACATCGAAAAATAAAATTTTGCTTTAACCTTGATTTACGTGCATCTTACAAAGTAGACAACAAAGCCGTCAGTGACTCTAATCAGTCGAACATCATTGTTTTTATCAAGACAATATTTTATCATCATCCGGCTAGACTATTTGTTTTACAACATGGCATCCTTAGTGTTGTGACTAGGGAAAACAGCAGAAGTGTGAATTTTTTGAGAGAAAATGAAAAAAATTTGTAAGGTGATTAATTTTTTTGGGCTGTTTTATTTTTAGAAGTGTTCAACTTTTTGGGTTGGTCATTCCACTGCGTAATAGAGATATTATGGATCTTAGAATAGAATCAAAACTTTGTGAAGAAGAGGGCTCACAATTTATTAAGAAAATAATAAATTGCGCCGTTTCTAGAATAAATGGCTTACCCACACTTTTTTCCGACTAAATGGCTATACAGTTGCCTATCCGGGAAGGTTCCCTAGTATATTTTGTCATTCTTTTAAGATTCTTATGAGAAACAAAAAGTGGAAAAGAAAAACTTTTGATATAAAAGAGTCTCTTAAAAAGAAAGTGTGTCCTAAGGTAGCTGAAACAGTGATTTCACCGTGTTGTTTTCTCTTCGGGAACGTAATGCAATCAGGGTCAATCATTTACCTCAGACTCACTTTGAAGTTGAGAACAGACTTGTACACGGCAGTTTTATTAACACACCCTCTCTTTGTCTAAATCCTTTCTACTTGTCATAAGAGCCGTATTAATAGTTTTTTTTTATGTATTTCTCAATTATGGTTTGCCATATAACTGGCATTTGATCTCAGAATAAAAGTGAGAGTGGTTAAATGGTTTATAGCTCGCCTGTGAGGTTTACCGTAAGGTCCATATATATTATCGCTAAGATCAGTTCGTTATTAGAGCCAATCTAATATTCTGTGAATGAGGCGGAATGGCTGAGCCCCAATCCTCCGTGCATATACGTCTATAGGAAGCATGTTTCTTCAAACTGTTAGAAAAAAAATAGATTGTTCCACATGCTTATCCACGTGATATAAACGTATACATATACTCTCGCCACGTGTATGATTGACGATACGAACATTTTTTTCGCATTTTAAACTAGACGTAAAACAGTGTCTGTTACATAAGTTACTTTTTTACACTAGAAAATGAGACCTATTTAGATAAGGGAACAGAGAGTTGAATTTACTGTGTACATCCTCTGAATTTACTACCTGATTCTCTATTTATACTGATTTTTCCTTTTCAGATAAGATTATAACAAGATCAAAGCATTGTCTGCTCGCATTAAAATTTCATTGCACTATGATCTCGAAGAAAAGTCCGAGTAAAACATAGTGCAATCGTAGATAACAAACGGTGACTGGAAAAATGTGGAACTAGTATTCTTGTGAGATTCTTATACGATTCCACAAGCTATTTTTGTCTAGGGAACGAACTCCAGTGCTAAGCTTTTCTCGTCGCCCATACAGCCATTTATTCTAGGAAGCAATAAATGGCTTAGTCATTTATGCTAGATATTCCCTCCTAGGACACATTTTTTCTTGGCACGATAGGGAGCCATTTATTCTCAAAAAAGTGTAGATAAGCCATTTATTCTAGGAAGCAATAAATGGCTTAGTCATTTATTCGAGAAAAAAAGCCATTTATGCTAGATATTCCCTCCTACGAGACATTTTTTCTTGGCACGATAGGGAGCCATTTATTCCCAAAAAAGTGTAGGTAAGCCATTTATTCTAGAAACGGCGCAATTTATTTATCTAGTAATAAATTGTAACTGCTGCTTGTGCATGGTAGCACTTAGCAAAGGTACTCCGTACCTTTTAGTTGTTCGTACTATTTTATGTTTGATACAACTCCATTCTCAATTCTCTCAAATTTTTGTCAAGGTCTTCTCATATGTAACCCTTTCGCTAGAATTCGGTTTAAAACTGTAAAAAATACATTTTGTATATAAATCATGATCAAAGACAGTTATCAATGATACTTGTAGATATTTGCAAGCAAGCAAGCAAAATATAGCATATTTTCTGGCCCCTAATCTACTGGTCATCTCGCTTTTTCAAATGATTATGTTAAGAAACTTGTGTGATCCGTGAAACACACAAATTCAGTTCAGAACAGAGGTGAAGAATCTACCCGCGTGCGGTAACGGCCGGTTGGGGAAACTTTTTGGGCCTGGGGAAATTTTTGGAAAATTACGGGGTATGGATGCGGAGAAAAATCACGCTAAACAGAGAAGCCTTCTTTTTATATTTTTCCAGCCGGGGAAATTTTTCGAAAAAACCTCACCGTTCGTTTTTCATTTTAGCGGCAGATTCTGCACCTCTGGTTCAGAAAGTCAACATCTTCAATTTTTCAAATAAAAATCTTGAAACGATCATTGAAAATGTCTTGAGGCACTAATAACCACAAAAAAGGAACTTCTACAATGTTTACTCAAGGAAATTTTATCAAACGTACTTCTTTCAGAAACGAATAATTTCAATAAAACACGTGTGCGTATCACTTCACATACGCCCTGCCGCGGGGTACGGAGGATTCTCAGACTGATTTGAAGAATTTCGGACATAATCATCTTTGGGTAACCAAATACTCTACGATATGTAGCTCCCACTTTATTACGATGGATTTTATTCATACTTACCATTTTTGTTTATCTCAAAGATCACGGAATGAAAATAAGATAACTGAATGAAATAATCGTGCACGTTGCATACCAGCCATAAGACAATGAAAAAACTTTTATTCTCCTCTTTAATTTAAATACTGATCACCATTTTCACAAAATACTAATAAAAACAATTTTAATCTAAAATGGAAAGCAAACTAGAACAACAGTAAGTGAGTGATATACATTATATTTCACTTTTACAGAGGTGAAATCCTGAAAAAATAATCTGCTTTTTGGCCTTTTATGTGAGAGTCCAAAAAGAAAATGAGAAAATCTTTTTCAATCGCTGTTTTGTAATCCGTGTTCGTTTCTGTGTATTTTTTTGTTTTCTACGACATATTTTACTCATCGGCGAGTTTCCCAAGGCAAGATAAATAGCAGAAACGATATGCACACCTGTAGATATATACTACCTATATGATGTTATCTTCAAGCCACATGTCTCCTACTCAAGCAATAATCTCTTGCAAACTATCAAAACTAATGAAACACCATCAAAATCGCTTGAAAACCACAGTTGATCATACTTGCAAAAAATGCAGTAATGATGAAAAGTGAATAGAAGATTGTTTATGGATGAATCTCACCCCTTGTTTAGGGTAAAATTAAATCTATACGAGAATAGGGTCAAAGCAAGTGAAGAAGGAAGAATTACATAACGAATAGTCCTTTTTGTTCCAAGAACCCAATGTCAAGAACCATTTTACTTCTCAAAACGATCGTCTTACCAAACGATTTTATGATTTTGCTACAGCATGCACTTTTTAGTGTGTAGTATTTTGTTTACAAGAAAAAACAAGTTCATCATTGGAAACATAAAGTCTTGCAACGAGAGACTCTTCTATTATACGTACTTCGTAAAAAAACAACTAACTACTTTCATTTGAAAAAAGAAAGCTGTATTTAAGACGAAAAATTTCGCAATTAGATAGACTAACACAGTTTTTTATATTATTAGTATAGAGGCAAACTATTCTTTTCAACCACATCTGCACAGGAAAGGTGTGTGTCGTTGCTGTTCTGTATTTGCTTTCTTTCTCTATCATTTCTCAGCCAATGATTTATCGAATTGCAGAATATAGATATTTTGACTAATAGCTAGCGTTTTTCTGTTCTAAAGCAGTTATACAGAAAGAAAAAGATAATTTTAAAAATAAAGGATAAAGATCATGTGCCGCTTTCTAGAATTAAACTTTGGTTCTTACCAAATTATAGATTTGTTATTTGTATAATCATTAAACAGTTATAAAGGATTGTTCAAGGCATAGCTTAATGCAGTTCAAAAGAAATGACAAAATAAGCGGGTAATATATCCTGTTTCAATGAAAGCTAGCGTATCTTTGCTTATTTTTCACGAATGAGGAGATCAATTTCTATAGTACCGATCGACGTTTGAACGTGCGTCTCTATACAGTGCTCGGTGTCTATAAGAAAGAAAAAGTGGTCGTTTACTTGGCAAAAATCGATTTCTACTATGAAAATGAAGAGATCACATTAGACTAAGATTGTTTATTCACGAAAAGTGAGAGTCATCAAAGGTCACCGGCCTGTAGTAACAATGACTCAAGCCAAACAACACCAAAATAGTAATAAAAAAATAACAAAATAGAGAAGACAACTAAGATTAGAACCAGAAGTAGTAAATAAAACACA